ACCCCCCTTTGTGTGAACATTTATTTCTCTACCCAGTCATCTACACATGGAACACCATGGGTTCATACAGATTTTTAATTTCAATCTAACAGTATGAAGATTAACCTCATTTTCTCTCTTTTTGTATTTGTACTTCTCTTCCTTGACAATGAGGAACTTAGCTCCCACTGCTCTTTCATCTATGTATTTACTTAATCCTTCTCATGTTTCCACTCTCATACCTCTGCCACCATCCTCTCCCCTACACAGATTCCCCCCCGCCCCGCACTTGAGCTGGACACTCTTCCCCGGAGAACCTTCAGTACTGAGGGGTTCTATCCACCCTTCTGGGACCTGACACCCAGTGCTCTTCATAGACGCCCTCTTCACCCAGCTGGGGCATTTTATTTAACAAGAACACTTGGCCTTAATGGATTGTACACCTTTCATATTCTTAAAACCACAATATTCTTACAGGGCTTTGCTATGGGTGTCAGAGCTCAAGGGGCCCGATGATTGTCAGGTCATGGGAGATTGTGCTCAATAACCAGAGTGACTTTTCTTAGAGAAAAATAAGACTGTAAAAATCCATCAGAATATTTCACTAATTTAAATGACTATGAGCATTAAACTCTACTGTTAATAAATATCTTCAAGTTGTGTTTTTAAAAAGATCATCTATAATGTCCTTACAAGAGACATAAAAGGAAAAAATGAGAGAGTTGGAAAATAAAAGAAGGAAAAAGCATAAGCCAGAACAATATTGACTAAATGGAAGCTGGTGTGGAATAAAAATATCATTTCTAAGGGCACCAAGACACATGAAGTATTTGTGTAAAAATCAAGCAAAATATGAACAAGATTTATATGCTGAGAACTACAAAATGATGATGAAAGAAATGTTTATAATTAAATGGGGAAATAAACACGATTCAAGCATTGGGAGACTCCGTATGTTTAAGATGTCAGTTCTTCCCAAATTGATACTTATATTCAATACATTTCTAATCAAAATCCCAGCAGAAAATTTTCTCAAATAGACAAGCTGATTCTAAAACTTATATTTAAAGGAAAACCATGTATATGATTCCATTTACTTGAGGTACTTAGAATAATCATATTTATAGAATCAGGAAGTAGAATAGGGATCACCAGGGGCTCTGGGAGTGGGGAATGGGGAGCTGTTGTTTAATGCGTACAGAGTTTCAGTTGGAAAAGATGAAAAAATTATGGAGATGGATGGTGGTGACTGCACAACAATATGAATGTACTTAATACCACTGTACTATGCAATTAAAAATGGCTAAAATGGTATATTTTATTAAGTATACTTTATCGTAATAAAAATTTTTTAAATAACAATAGCCGAAATAATTTTGAACTCACACTAGGTGATTTCAAACCTGACTGTAAAGTTAGAGTAATCAATATAGTGTAATAAGTATAGACACATAGGTCAATAGAATAGACAATGCAGAAATACAACCACACGTGGTTGGTTAATTTTTGACAAATTTCCAAAAGTAATTCAGTGGAGAATGGATAAAATGATCACTGTATGGGGCTGGAATAATTGAATATCCACCCATATGCAAAATAATCTTTATGTGTACCTCACACCATACACAAAAGTTAACTCAAAACTGGTCATAAACCTAAATGTGTAATCTAAAACTATAAAAATTCTAGAAGAAAACATCAGAGAAAATATGTCTTTGGTTTAGGTAAAGCTGTCCTATAAAATATCAAAAGCATAATCATAAAAGAGAAAATTGATCAATTAAACTTCTCTAAGATTAAAAACTTTTGCTCTTCAAAAGACCCGGTTAAAGAAATAAAAAACCACCAAATGGGTGAGAATATTTGCAGATTACATATCGACAAAGACGTGAATAGCAAAAAGCCCACTGAAAAAGACTTAACATCATCAGTCATTAGGAAAATACAAATTAAAACCACAATATGACACTATCTCACACCTATTAGAATGCAAAAAAGTACCGACTGTACTATGTGCTGATGAGAATACATTACAACCAGAGTACTCATACTGCTTGGGGGAATGCAAATGTCACAACCATCTTGGAAAGCTGAACACTTTGGTGGTTTCTTGTTTCTTTTTAGGTTAACCATAAACCTACCATCCCATTACCCAGCAGTCCCATTACGAGGCACTTGCTCAGAAATGACCACTGGGTTCACACAGAAGCCTTTTTTCATAATCATCAACACAACCTAAATGTCTTTCAACTGATACACAGATAAACTGTGTAAATAGACGGTGGTATCTTCATCCAGCAGAAAACTACTCATCTCTAAAAACAAACTACTGATACACACATAAGCATGGGTGACTGCCAGAGACATCATTCTAGTGAAAGAAGGCAGTCTGAAAAGGCTACATGCTGTAGGATTCCATTTATATGACATTTTGGAAAAGGAAAAACTATTGGAACAGCAAGTAGTGCTTGCCAAGGAATGGGAGTGTGGGGGTGTGGTGTGACTGCGAGGGGCCGGAGGGCATTGTTTATTACCTCTAAAACTGTTCTTTATCTTCCCAGTGCTGGTGTTTTGTACTTTGTGAAAACTTGCAAAAATATTCACTAAAAAGGGTAAATTTTATTATTTGTGAATCATACCTCAACATATCTGAGTCAGAAAAAAATGAAAATCGGCATATTCTTTTGTTTTCAGACATTGAGTGGCAATGTGTTGTTTGTAGAGGTTTGTAATTTATTTTGTCAAAACTGTAGACTGTGGGCTCAGCCCATCGCATGACAATTTCCTCATTTTTCAATTAATGAAAAAGCCAGAGGAGGAGATGACACATGACAAAGAACAATCAGCTTTTGCAATCTGATTATATAAATGAGCTGCTCTGGAGGCTGGAATTTGCATTGCCTTTTTGTTGTTTTCCGCCGATCTAGGGAAACAGAGTCGAGAAAAACTCCTTGCATCTGTTCATTCGAACCCAGGAATTCGAGGCAAATTCTCAGGTTTGAATATGGAACGGTGGGACTTGACTTTGGCTTATTCTAGGACAAAAAGTTCCTGATGGGATTGTTTGCTAAACCTCGGTTTATTATACACACGTGATGAGTTTTATAATGTGGCTGATGTGGGTTTAATTTCATGAGCTGTGCCTTACACTTGCATGGTTACATTTTGGGAGAAGTTGTAGAACAGGGGCTGTCAGCTTTTTAGATTTGGAGCCCTTTCTCCAAAGCTACACGCTCCGTCACACATGTAACAGTGACTCAGGAAAGCATCTCTGCTTGTGGTGATTGACCCAAGCCTGGAAGCATTGAGGAACTTCCATTAATCACAGTGAAAAATCCACCGCTCCCACACCCACGTTTGGGAAGAGGACCATAATGGTGGCTCCCAGACATAACACAATAATTCCAGATGGAATCTGGTTCTTGTTATAGGGCTTATTTCACCAGTGGAGTTCTTGAAAACAAAGTCTGTGGTGTCAGTTCAGAGTAACATATCTCTGTCCCAGAAATCACCTTTCATTGTATAAAATTGCCCTTAATGTCATTGTTTCATTTGCCTGACCATTCTACTCTCCCTTTTTAAAATCTAACTCTAGGGGCGCCTGGGTGGATAAGTTGGTTAAGTGTCCAACTTTGGCTCAGGTCATGATCTCACAGTTCATGGGTTTGAGCCCCACATTTGAGCCTGGAGCCTGTCTTCAGATTCTGTGACTCCCTCTCTCTCTGATGCTCCCCCGTCTCTCTCTCTCAAAAATAAATAAAACATTAAAAAAATTAAAAAAAAAATCTAACTCTAGATTTGGAAGAGAAGGAAGATCAGAATTCAATTTATTGTATGTAGGTGTTACCAAGACTCTCAAAAGGGAAGGAGAGAGAGACATTTGTATATATGGGTCTGGAGCTCAGGAGAGAGAATGTCAACTGCAAGTGAACACGGTTGAGAATTTCCACACTGAGATCATAATGGCAGCTGAGGGCGTGGTCAGAGGGGGCTCACAGCAAAGGGCCCAGCCATCTGAGGTTGAGGAGGCCAGCGGTCCAGGACTGGGTAGAGGAGGATGGATGGATATGGAGGCCAAGGAGAAAACCCGAGAGAGCCTGGTATTCTGGAGCCGAGCGCGGGTAATGTGCCGGTAGGGGAGTGGTGCAGTGCTACATGCTGCTGAGAAAGCAAAGGGAATGAAGCCTAGAAGGGTCCACGAGGTTTAATAGCATGATGGTCACCGCTGATCTCCTATCCCTTGTGGTCCTTCTTCATGATGAAAAGTTCTTTGAGAACAGACACCTTGATTAGAACTCCACGTTGCACTTAGGAAATGGCCAACAAACAGTTGCTATATTGTAAGCTTTCCTGATATACTTGAAGACTTAAAAAGGTATCATGGGGTGGGGGGGTCCCTGGGGGGCTCGGTCAGTTAAGCGTCCAACTTGGGCTCGGGTCATGATCTCGTGGTTCGTGGGTTCGAGCCCCGCGTTGTGCTCTGGGCTGACAGCTCAGAGCCTGGAGCCTGCTTCTCATTCTGTGTCTCCCTCTGTCTCTATCCCTCCCCCTCTCAAAAATTAAAAAGTAATAAAAACATTTAAAAGAAAGTTTTAAAGGTATTCATGGGGGTGGGGGCCAAGGAACTGTTGTGTACTCTGGTTGTGTTAGTGGCTACACGTGTTAAAACTCCTAGAACTGTACACCTCAAAACAGTCCATTTTATTGCATTTTAATTTTTTAAGACATGCTTTAATTAGTAATGATAAGCATCTTTTTCTCACATAGTGGTGGCTCTAGAGTGTTTAGCGTGAAGTGACTCTTTCAATCTCTCATGTATTTCCGAAATAGCTCTTTGTATTACACAAGAGTTAATGACTACCAACCATTAATAAAAACAACTAAGATTTTAAATAAAGTAAGAGAAATCCAGAAGAGTGCCAGCAGAAAATTTATGAAAATGTGTCTATAATTTTAGTTGGTATAGAAGAAGTGAAAAGGAAAGCCATAACAAAATCTCTGTTGTCTCATCTTTTTGACAGACAGGAATGGGTCACTTGCGTGTTACCAGAGATGGTCTTCGCCTAGAAGGGGAGTCAGAATTTTTATTCCCATTGTACGCCAAAGAAATACACTCCAGAGTGGTAAGAAAATGACGACACATTTATTTAAATGTTTTGTGTTGTATGAAAAATAATAATCATTAAGCATAGAAATTCAATGCGTTTCAGAAGAGAGTTCTTAGAATGTACACATGTACACGCATTCATGTTATCCTCTTTATAAAAGCTTGGCTAGAAGGCTGTAAAACTTATTTCAGATATTACGTTATAAAAAGATTCTGTTTTCATGTGCTTCAGCTCTGAACTTGGTGGCCTCGGTCATTTAAGCCATAATTAAACATGTTTGGCAATTAAAACCTGTATCAAAAACAATCTAAACTTCTTTCCATTAGCGCGGGTAATTTAAAGACACTTTTTTCAAGGCGTTTAAAATGATATGAGAAGCTTAGAAAGAGATTAGTTTCACTGTAGTAATGTTCTGTACTAATTATGCTAATTATAGATTAGGGTCCTGTGGGAGTCTCCGTTAAATAGATGAAACATTTCCATTAAAGAATTATGCGACTTTAAAAATAAATCTGCCTCCATATTATCTTCGTTTACCTCCATGGAATTTATAACAAATAGAGCCAAGCAGGAAAGATAGTCAAATAGCTTTTGTAACATGTTCCGTTTTTCTTTCTGTGCTGCTATGCAGGTTGTAGTTAAGGTAAACATTTTGCTGAATTATTGGTTAGGTGTCATCTCAATAAAACGATAAAACTTCATCCAGCTGTAACTTACCGGTTGGATGAATGGCACGCTTTTGGTTTTCCTCCCGTATTTACGGATATGAAGGGATGGGTCAGTATCTCCTTCATGCGGAGGCTCTTGCAGCGACTCTAGGGGAATTCGAAAGGACCCAAGAGGCCAACGGCTGAGAAGCATGTGGTCTTAAAGGAGGGATACAGCACACGCCTACAACAGACGTCAGACGGTCACCCAGCCCTACGGCCAACCATAAAGTGATGCAGTGTGAAACGTGCACACAAACACACACAGCCACGGAGAGATCGTATGCGTGCAAAGCACATAAGTAGCTCTTGGGCACTATTGTATTACTTCTGATAATGTCTCAGTTGACAGGAGGAGCTGGGAAATGACCTGGAATGTGACAGGCTGATAGGTGCGTGAGCCAGATGCCGCGAACTTCTTCAGAAAACAAGCTTATCATTAATTGTGATGGCAGTTCAGTGTATTAAATAGCCCTGTCATGAGAGAAGAGGAGGAATAAACCCAAACTTATGTAAAGGGGGAAGTCAGGTGTGAGCAAAGAATTTAAATATTAGAACTTAGCCATTTTCCCCCCCAGAGTTATGTTGGCTGATTCCCTACCATAGTTTTTAATGGTTTTATTTAGTTTTGAGAGAGAGAGAGAGAGAGAGACCGAGCATGAGCAGGGGAGGGGCAGGGAGAGAGGGAGACACAGAATCTGAAGCAGGCTCCAGGCTCTGAGCTGTCAGCACAGAGCCAGATGTGGGGCTCGAACCCACGAACCGCGAGATCGTGACCTGAGCCCAAGTCGGTTGCTTAACCGACTGAGCCCCCCAGGCGTCCCCTACCCTACCATATTTTAAAGAGAGAAGACTGGTAGAATGGCCTGCTGGCTGAAATCAGGTGTTTAGTTCATAGCAAGTTTAATATTCTGGATTTAATACCTTTAGTTATATCTTATCAGATTATTTTAGATCTCCATATACATTAAAAACTCCGGGAGTAGGGGTGCCTACTCCCCTGCTCACACTGTCTCTCTCTCTCTCTCTCCCAGAAATAAATAAAACATTAAAAAAAAACTCAGGGAGCAAAATTATATCAATTATTTTAGATAATCACATGTTAAACTCTTACAATGATGCATTGATACAATATGTTGATTGATACATAAAATTACAGAAACCTGTGGAATGATGTTGTGTGATCCCAGAGATATAAAGTACCTGGTAACTAATATGGCTTTTCCAATAATAGGATTAACTGAGCAAAATTAGGTCTTATATCTTCTGTATGCACTGATGTATTAGTTCTGTTTCCTTTTCAAAGATGAGTCTAGGAGGTAATTTTCCATAAAACTACAGAAATGAATTTGCAAAATTTGGCACATCGTAATTTATGTATACTGCTGCGGTGAGAGACTCTCTTTATTGTAACTATAATTCAACATGGTATTCTGGCTTCTAACATGTGATTACTTGGTAACTCTTCAAAACAAACACATGAGGTCCTATCAAGATTGGATCTGGAGCTCGTGATTTAAAACCATCCACCCTGCCCATTATTAACCTAAACCCAGAGCAGTTCTAACTGCTAAAACCAAGAAGCTATATTTACAAACATACAGACCTCGTCCAAAATGAAATAAAACCGAAACACACAAAGGTAAAGCTTTATATGAAATGATTGTCTTTTGAAGTTTGCAGTCCTGGAAAGAGGTAGGGATGGCTTCCCATCAAAGGCCACAGAGGGGGACGGAAACCAAAATGGTGCCTCATGGGACCCCATGGGACTCCAGCTACACCCACGTCATGAGACAGCAATGAAAGGCAGACACTAGTGGCACCCACTGCCCAGGCTTGAATAAAAATGCCAGACCAAGACCCGAATGTCATCCGAGGACACAAGCCCTGAGCCACCACAAGACCCAGGGGTCAGAATGAAAACAATGGGAAATCCCTTAGTCGGGCTTGGTGAGTCCAGAAATCAAAATACACCCACAGACGAAAGCTGTAGACTGAGACCTGAAACCGCATTCAGAAAACTTCACCTAAAAGACAGGGTACCAGATAAACTCCACAAAAAAGAGAATTAGCTTCCAACGAAGTAGAAACAATCATGCTGAAAATGGCTGGAATAGCACACGTAAGAATTCCAAGCAGATAAAGCTATTTTGCAGTAGCTTCTATGAAAAGAACAAGAAATGACAAAAATCAAAACAGGTTTACAGAAAGAACAGGGAACAGATTTACCTGCTTTTCTTCAACAACTAAAAAACTTGGACACGTATGAGCAACGTGGGTTTTGCGATGGCCTGGAAGTTCACATGTGCAACTAAGCCCCCAGGTGATGGCCATAGGAGGTAGGGCCTGGGGGAGGTGCTCAGGTCACGAGGGTGGCGTCCTCCTGACGGAAGCAGGGAGGCCCCATGGAGCTCCCTCACCCCTTCCACCATGCGAGCTGGAGTCTGGAAGGCGCCTTCTGTGAACCACAAAGTGAGTCTCGCTGGACACCCAGTCTGCCAGCACCATGATCTTGGACTTCCCAGACTCCAGAGCTGTGAGAATGAAATCGTCGTCGTTTATAAGCTGCCCCAGTCTCTCGTATTCTGTCATGGCACCAACATGGAGCAGGACAGTGTTCAAATATTGGACCGTGGCAGGCAGGACAGTTATCTCTGAGAGAGGGAACCGAGAGGCGAGCCTGGGATTGCCTCAGTTTACTACTCGCAGAGAGTTTCTAAGGCCACGGTGAGGGAGGGGGCTAGTGAAGAAGCAGGGGTTCTCCCCGAGTTGAGAAGATATGGTTGGGAGTCCAAGGAAGAGAAGCCAACCTAAAGCCCACAGGGCAGAGCACCGTCGAGGAGGCGGCCACCACACAGGGAGAGCCCAGAGGCAGCAGGAGGGGCGCCCCCTCTTCACACCCCTGCATGCCAAGGCTCTACCTAAGAAACCCATAAACCGTCAGCTCTTATCGTGCTAGTTATTTGTGAACGATATGAAATCAAGTATTAAGGTCACATCATTGGGTGCAACACGAGATGCTGATCGATCCAGCTCCTTCCACGAAGCAACTTGAGAATTTCAGACCTGCCAGAGATCCAAAGCATTCCTGAAACTTCTTTCCTTCTGAAAAATCATGTCATTCACTACAACTTTGCAAGACAAAGTTTGGTTCCCCCCAAACGGATCATAAACCCGCCTGAATCCAACAGCCAAATTGTTGCATTCTTTCTGAAAGAATTTGTTTATATTAAAGCAAACAATCTCCTATTAAAGCAAAACTACCCATTCGGATCCATGATACCACAGAAGGCACTTAGGACATAAAGCCACCTTATCTTCCAACAAAAATTCAAAAAACCTAGACGTCTGACAAATTTTTAAAGCTCTTTTGAAATTGCGAGAAGGCTTTACATTTTGCAAATAAGTAACATGGTATTTATTATAGAAGAACTAACCATGCTCTGATTTATCTTCTAAAAATACACCCTGTCCTGGACATAAATAATAAGAAATGAAATTTTAATTCCTCGGAATGGAAAATACACTGATTAAAACTCAATTATTTTAGATCTTCATGCTGAGAATTCACTTGGTACGCTGCAGCCAGTGCATACAAGCAGCATAAACCCATAAGAGTATTGTAATTTATGGGAGGAAAAAAGTTAGGACACCTGTAGCAGCCGGGAAATGAATTTTGCCACCAACCACATGAGCTTAGAAGAAGATCTTGAGTCTGGAATGGATCCTCATCCCTTCAGCCCCCTGAGGCCCTGAACAGGGGACCCACAAAAGCAATAATATAATAAATATGTATTGCTTTAAACTGTTGGGGTAAACAAAATGTATTTACTCTTTTAACATAATATAGTCCAAGATTTAAAAATACTGTATACGGCACAGAATCTCTGACAATGGAAAATTTATTTCCTATAAATCCTAAATTTATATATGAATATAAATATAGTCATTTTATTTTTTATTTAAAAATTTTTAATGTTTATTTTTGAGAGAGAGACAGACAGACAGACTGTGAGTGGGAAGGGGCAGAGAGAGGGGGAGACACAGAATCCAAAGCAGGCTCCAGGCTCCGAGCTGTCAGCACAGAGCCCAACGCGGGGCTTCAACTCATGAACCATGAGATCATCACCTGAGCTGAAGTCAGATGTTTAACTGACTGAGCCACCCAGGTGCCCCACACTCATATTAAATAGCATATATTTGTCGGGGTACCTGGGTGGCTCAGTCAGTTAGGCATCTGACTCTTGACTTTGGCTCAGGTCACGATCCCAGGGTCGTGAGAGCAAGCCCCATGTCGGGCTCTGCACTGAAGGGCTGAGTGTGGAGCCTGCTTCAGATCCTCCCTCCCCCTCCCCTGCTCACAGGAACGCACACGAACACACCCTCTCTCTCTCCAAAACTAAGCGAGCAAGTGAATAAATGAATAGTATGTGTGTGTCACATTTTGTCACATTTTGTAAATGTCCTTCTAGGACTCCTCCCTGCTTCTGCAGTCAACTCAGAACGTGACCGTCAACGCACGCAACTCTGCAGGGGAGGTCACGGGCAGGTTAAAAGTGGGTGAGTCCAGCTTCTTCACAGAGCTTTGCATGTGAGTGGTCTGTGGATGGTTGTGCTGAATGGATATATGTCTCTCTTCTAAAGAATTCACGACTATTCATGAACAGGTGAAGTATGAGTTTTCTAAATGCCATGCTCTGTTGACCGCAGAGAACAGTTGGAGACAGCGACATATTTTAATTAAAGTTTTTATTTCGATTCCAAGAAATAGAGACTGTTCAAGGTAGTAAGAGACACATGATTATTGCAGAATGCCAACGAATCTGAGACCAAAGGAAAGGCACCAAAGAAGCTGGCATCAGAAGAACAGAGACCAGGGTCTAAGATTCTCTCTCTCTTCCCCTCCCCACCTCCTCCTTCTTCCCTTTCTCCTCTCCCACGTACCCCTCCTTTCTCGGGCATCCCTGCCCACTGTTTTCACTTGGCCACATCAGTTCTAACTCTAGGCCTACTGGACCTCTCTGGTTCTTTATCTGATTGGCACCAACCAGCTTGGTCTTCATGAATTTTAAGTTCACAACAAAGTACTCTAATTGGCCCAACTAATGTGTTTAACCTGCTGCCCTTGGGCCAGCTACGTATGCTATCCAACCAGCTAACACCAGAGAATAAGGCACCAAGGAGTAAGATCCCATGAAATCTTACACAGTGAGAAAAGGATGAGGGAGGAAGAACATAGGTGGGAGAAATGATAAAAGAGCAAAGCACCTAGTGAAAGGAAAGTGTACCCATTCTCTATACTACCAGCAGTCTATAGGTGTGCCAAGCCTAAGAAGTTGAGTGGCCTCTTGGGTTATGGGAAAACAGATGGCAAGTGTCCCACCAGCCCAAGCCAGTGACTCTCAATGTCTCCTTTTTACAAAACAGAATAATAGCACATTGGAAACTACGGCCATATATTAGCCTGATGAATCCTTTTTATCATGCTCAGACAGGAGTTCCATATTTTATGTTCCGCTTTACTCTTTATAACTTATTTCTCTTTCGCTTAGAAGTTTGTTTGATCACTAAGTCCGGTGAAATTCTCAGTGGCTCTGGACATGAACCTGGCCTGAGTTTATCCAGCATACATGTTCTTGAAACGCGTCTAAATCAAGCCATATTTTCTTGATGACTTGTGTAGTATTATGAGTTATCTTTACCATTATTTCACAAAATTCCTTGTAGCTTTTATATGTGTGAGGGATTTTTGCTCATCGTAGTGCCGGCGTGGAACTTTCTATATGCTGTCATGTAAGTAATAACATACAAAGAATATGTACATAGCCCTTAGGAGCTCCAAAAGTAAAAGGTTCCCTTTATATTCTTATAAAAATGATTTACTGCAAATAATTATTTCCTCATTTAATTTTTTATTGAATGCAGATTTTCATATATCATACAAGAGAGATGTGCTATAAATCTGCCTCCAGTTCCATGAATGAAAAAAAACTGAAAGCACTGGAAAGCAAATTTGCTCAAGAACACGCAGCTATTTAGCAGAACAAGCCAAACCAGGAGTAAGCAGGAATTAGCAGTTAGCAGGAATTAGTAGTTTAGCAGGAAAAGCAAACCCCAGGACTTCCCTCAGCCTGGGATGCGCCACTCCCTCTCTCCAATCAGATTTCCTTGAATTATGGCCCTATTTCCTGCAAATATGGATACCATTTTTGTCACCAAGGAATTTACTTAAAAAAAATATATATATATATATACAAAAAACCCAAAAGACATTCCCATTAGAATTACTTTGGTTTTAGCTGGTCACCTTAAATCTTGAGTTTTAACCTTGGTGTTCCACGCTCAGTATGTTAAAATGAGTGATTTCTGGTAAACTCTTATTTGGAAAGCCTCTGTTATATGGAAGACCCTGAACCAGAGAATACTGTTCAGCTGACAAGGTTATTCTCAAGTAAACAACTTCCACAATCGCGGTCGCTCCAGCCTCCTATTTCCTGGAAGAAGTTAAACATAGCCAACCTGGATATTAAAATGTAACTTATGTGAACAAGCCAAATTCGTCCCATTTAATTAAGTGAATAATTGCTTATTACTAAACCACTGAAAGTAATGGCAATGAGTACAGTCAAAACCAAAAGCCTTAAATCCCCAAAGAAGTTAAACACTGACAAGCAAGCAACGACAGCTAGCACTTCAAATCCTTGAGCTGAAAGATACTGACTCACAGCAACAATAACGGGAATCTTATGAACTCTAAGTGCAGCTCTCGTTCCTGCCATTAATTTCCTTTTCATTTCAAATAACAGAGACGAATTCTGGTTAGCATAAAAACATTTATTCAGGTGGGCTGGTCGGGTTTGGCAGTCCGGGTTTTCTGGGCATGGAGCCCGGCTGCAGTGCATCCTGGGAAAACCACCAGCTTTCCAGTGACAGGCAATCGGTACAGAATTCGATCAAGCAGAGCTGCTGGCATCGACCTTGGGATTTCTATAGAGTTCTAGTCACTCCCAATCCAAGTGGAGATTTTCAAAGAACAACCAAATAACCCCACTGGGGAGGCTGGGAATGTTTATGGCACAATTCGGTCACTGCCACCCAGATGCCCAAGTCGTCTTCCTGGGTGCTGAAAGATGTCCTCTGCTATGATCACAGTGTCTTAGATCCAAGTATCTGAGGGACACCCAGGCGGCTCAGTCGGTTAAGCCTCTGACTTTGGCTCAGGTCATGATCTCACAGTTCAGCCTGCTTCAGATTCTGTGTCTCCCTGTCTCTCTGCCCCTCCCCTGCTCATGCTCTGTTTCTGTCTCAAAAATAAACAAACGTTTAAAAATTAACAAAAAAACAAATTTAGGTCTTCGAATAGCAAAGCTGAGAAATAAGAATCTCATCAGCCCCGCAAGTTTGTTAGGCTTCTTGGAACTTCTGCATAGCCATGAGAAGCTTCTGCAAAAGCCTTTGTATACCCAGAGCATGACTAATATCAAGAATAGAAACGTAAAACAGAAGAATAAAGTGAATATAGTACTGCAGAATTTCATGGACACTCTATTAAGGGACAGCAGTCCACCAGCAGCCAAGATATCTCTGGGTGGAATGATTGAACTCCGCAGAAGAAACATCAGAAATGAGGCCAAAAATACCAGTGTTTTATCCCAGCTGCGTGTTTCTGTGAAGTTACCTAGATTTTGCTGCTTTGCATCCTTCCTGGGGAAAAGGAGAAAGAGGGCGGTGACTGTGAACCTGAAGACGAGCAACCTTCCAGTGCAGCGCACCTCAGGGACGCACAGCTCGGAACAGCACAGAGGGCAGCAGGCTGAGAATGTAAGAATGTTCTCAGGAGACCAAAGCAGAACGATAACAGATGTGTTTGGCTTTTCAGCCACTTGATTAATGCACCCCTAGTTTCAGGGAATGAATCACTAAAGCAGCCAGCAAGCTCTGGGAAGAGGTTTGAAGTGAGGGTGATGCTTAGGGACCTTCTCTCCAGATTGGTGGGAATTCACGGACTTTTTCTCTTTAACTTTGATCCTCTGGGCAGAGGTTTCTGTAGCTCCTGCTAGGAGACGTAACCGAGAGTCTTCTGTTTGCTGCTCCAGCGTGTCATCATTACTCAAAGCTGAGGCCAACACTTTGGGAGTTGACGAAAAGTGTAGGGGAGTCATGACGGTACTAATCAACACAATCAAAGATAGCAACTTGATTCCCTCTGACTGTGACTGAGGCCCCTCCAAGATCTGTCCTCATGTAAAACACACAAGAAGAAAACTGTGATGACATCTTCTAGAACTTGGAGTCAGCTCTTCTGAGCACCGTATCTTCAGATGTTGCAGAAGAAGTTCTGGGGTGAGCCTATGGAGGCCTCGATGGAAGCAAGAATGTGGAGAACTCGATGCCAGATTGCATCTCAGAAGTGGACATTCTAGAATTAAAAAAAGAGGAAAAGGATGACAGATGGGTGGGAAGGTACCAGTGTCAGGGAGGGGTGGGTGTTGATGGCAAATGGGCTGACCTGTACCACTCTTCCCTGTAGAACCGCAAGAATTTGTCAAGAATCTGGCCAGCATGCTCTCAGTGGAAATCCAAAACTGTTGCCTTCAGCACTAGGCAGATTCTAACCCAGAAAGACTTCCAGAAAAATCCACCTGGATTTTCCTCCAACTGAGGAACAAATAGTACTGCCCCAGGAACTCCCCAAATTAAATATAGTGAAATACCGCGACTGGCCCCAGAGACAAGTGATGTCCACTTAAGGATACTGAATGTTTTCATAAGAAGCCAAGGCTGAAGAAGAGATGGGATTGGCCACTACAGTGGCTGGAAAGACAAACCAGAAACAGTAGGTTAGGAAGAAAACCCAAATGAACCCACTTTCCAGTTCCACCAAAAAAGACAATGAAGATCTTTATGATGAGAAACTACAGCCAGAATGCCCAGTCAGAAAAAGAGGTGTTCTCTCAGAGAAAAGCAGCTGACACTACGAGATGTATATTGGGGAGGGGGGGGATATATATATGTATGTATATATGTATGTATGGAATATATATACATATACATATACATGCACATATATATACATAGATATATACATATATATATATATATATATGGAATGAATTCCTTCCCAAACAAGTTTTCCATTCTGAGGATAGTGTTAAATTTGTATAATTTCTCTGAAAACTGGTAAATCCAAAAAAAATAATTTATGTTGAAAAGTCCTGAAGTACTACTTTTTGAAAGCTCCATGGTAAAAATAAATAAATAAAAGGGGAATTTCTTTGAAGGAGAACACAATTTGTATTTTGGAGGACATGCAGAGGGGTGAAGGGTGCTGCAGCATTACTGTGATTCGCGGAGTCAGATCTGTACAAAAAGATATAGTCGGAGCCATGGGGAAGTCTAACAGAAGTACTTATATACACACCTGTTGACCTAGTAATTCCACTTCTAAGAATCTACCCTGAAGATACAACCCCAACAAAACAAAATACATGTGTCCAAAGGTTGTTCTCTGCAGCAGTATTTTTAATTGCAAAACGTCAAGGGGCGCCTGGATGGCTCAGTCGGTTAAGTGTCTGACTTCAGCTCAGGTCATGATCTCATGGCTCATGGGTTTGAGCCCTTCATTGGGCTCTGTGTTGACAGCCCAGAGCCTGCTTTGGATCTCTGTCTTCCTCTGTCTCTGCCCCTCCCCCGAGAGCATGCTTGCTCTTGCTTGCTCGCTTGCTCACTCTCTCAAAAATAAACATTATAAAAACCCCTCAAAAACTACTTAAATATCCAGATGTATGGATCAACTGTTGAATAACCACATGCATCCACATGAATACCAAGCATCTGTTTAAAAGAATAAGGAAGATGCCTATGGATTGATTTGGAGTAACTTCCTGGACGTATTTGTCAGTGATAAAAGTAAAGTGCAGGAGACTACCTATTGTAGGCTACCCTTCACAGAAGTAAGAAAGGGATATAAGGAAAGACACATGTGTTTGCTCATTTGTGTGTAAAAGAAATAGGGGAAGCATAAACCTGAAATGAAGAGACTGGCTCCCTGTGCGGTTGACTGGGAAGAGGCTGGGGGGACGGGACTGAGGTAGAAAAGATGAGGGGGAAGTCACACATCCAAGTAAAGCCGTCAGGGATTCTGTATGTCAGGAAAACCTTGGCTGTATTTTCACTGGAGAAAACCCTTAAGCCAATTTCACAAACTTAATTAGTCATAAAACCGTCCTTTATTTATTTCTTTCATTTTTCATTTCCTTCTTTGTACCAGAGCCTGTCGTTAAAAATTTTACTTCACCAGATAGCTCTTGTTTTCATCACCAAGGTGGAGTTTGAATTTCATGTCTCAGAGAATTCCACTGCAAAAGATTATTTGCTTAGTTCTAATCAATGTCCAGCTAGGTTAATAAAAACTAGTAGAATATTAATAAAATTTAAAAGATTAATTAGAAACTCAGTTATTTTAAGAGATGATTATCCCTGTGAGTATGGGCTCAGGAATGATGTTTTCTGAAGTGGAAACGTATTTAAATTGAACATTCAACGCCTCCTTGTTTTTAATAAAATGAAGATGGAATTCTATTCACATCTGAGACTTTTGCTCAAGTCTTTCCCTCTAGCTGGCATGCCTCATTCTCCCTCCATCAGGGAAATAGAAACTCTTTCTTCAAAGTCAGCTCAGACAGCATTTCCCCAGGGTGCCATTCTTGACCCCCAAGGATAGACCACGGATTCCATTTCAGGGTTCTCCTTAAACATTGCCTATGCTTGTACCACAGCGCTTACCAAATTGTCCTGAAACTAGTTTTACGTGCTTTTTTCTTCAGTGGACTTAGCTGTGAGCTACATCCCACTTGTTGATATGTCCTCAGTGCTTAGCACAAAACCTTGAACATAAAAAACATGCCATAAATTTATGCTCAATGGTACAGACTCATTTTTCTGCATTTTTCAAAGTTTTTTTTTTTTCAGTAATCTCCACACCCAACATGGGGCTCAAACTCATAATCCTACGATCAAGAGTCATCTTTTCGCATTTCCTTTTTCTAAAGTTTATTTCTTTATTTTTGAGAGAGAGAGAGAGAGAGAATATATAAGTGGGGTAGGGACAGAGAGTTAAAGGAAGAGAGATACGGGGCTTAAACTCACAAACCATGGGATCATGACCTGAGCCAAAGTCAGACGCTTCATCGACTGAGCCACCCAGGTGCCCCTGCATTTTCTTTGACTTGAGTAAGGGTTTATATGGTTTCCCTACTCATGAAAATTATGCAGCTAAACTCTTTGAACACTTCATCATCAGATATGGAACAGTGGTTACAGGGGGAAAAAATGTAGTTTAACCCTTTTTACTCAATGAAGCCTCCTAGAACTGTTGTATGAGTCTCCAATAAGCTAAACAGTGAAGTGTTACTGCATAAATTTCCAGATTTTTTGTTTCCCCTCTCAATTTTAAACTCAGATAACCTGATATTCATCATTTAATGCAAATCAGTATTTATATGATAAATATCTGAACTATATCAGTGACCCAGAAGAGGTAAACGGTGGCGCTGAATCACTGAGTGACTGAGTCTGGGTGAAAGTGTGGACGAGCGAAAATACAGGCAACTATCCAAAAAAATAAAGTCAGGTTTCCTTAAGAGAAAGAAGATTAAGACATCAAGGAAAAATAGAGAAATGTGGTCCACTTTATAACTGTCATACACACACAGAGAGATGCAGGTAAATGAAGAGTCACTGAAGGCTTTTGCAGTACCGATTAATGAAATGACATAAGAATATGTCGGTGACCATATCCAAAACTGATTAACGTATTCATGGAAGAGCTCCTGTTTAATTTCTAGCTAGGTATCCTTCAACTTTAATGAGTAGTGGGAGGGGTAAGGAACACACACACAGGACTATAAGATACCCATTTTCTCAGTACATTTATACTCCCAGATGAGAATTTAAAGCTAACGTACAAAAGAATTAGGGAACACATGTAGTTCTTTGAGTGATCGCTCAGAGCTGTGTTCTGGAGAGATGGATCCATTATGCTGCCAGGGTCAGAAAGATTGGAAACACGAAGAAGAATTAGGAGACGTAAAATGGTGAACGCCTGAGTGTGGGCAAGAGAAATGGAACAAAGTCGCATATGCTGTTGAGGGCACAGCATCCCTGGTCTGGGCGTGGGAGCACCCGCCAAACCTTGGAAGTCTAAAAGGAATCTAAAGCAGTGAGTCTTCAACTCACCTGAGGAGATGAAATTTGGAGGGGAAAGTATTGCTGTTGTCACTGAAATACAAAGAAGGAAGGAGTGAAGAAGAAAACAAAAATGCCATCAAGGACTTTCTGTCCTAAAGAAAGGACAGAAACTTGAAGGTTTCTTCCATGGTGCTGTCTTGTTTTCTACCTGGGGGTAAGAGGTGGGGACCTCCCCAGAGGATACGGACAGGGAGTGAATCAAGGAGGATTCATCTTCTGGGCTGGCTTTGGCCATTAAAGTGAGCCATTCTTAAAATGGTCTTTCGTGGAGCAGCTGGGGGGCTCAGTCAGTTGAGCATCGAGCTTTGGCTCAGGTCACGATCTCATGGTCTGTGAGTTCGAGCCCTGCATCAGGCTGGCCACTGTCAGTGCAGAGCCTGCTTTGGATCCTCTGTCCCCCTCTCTCTGCCCCTCTCCAACTCATGCTGTCTCTCAAAACTAAACATTAAAAAAAATGGTCTTTCACAAACCTCACATCTTCAGAATATAAAATCTTTAGTTGGCTAATCCTCAAAAGATTACAAATTTAAATAAGCTGAGTAGATGAGTTATGCTATTTTTGGCTAGTTTTAACTTGAAAAACCTAACTTTTAAGTGATTTATTCTTTCATGTATTTGATATGGACTAACATGGTTTTGTTTTTTTAATTTTTTAATGTTTAGTTTTGAGAGAGAGAGAGCTACAGAGCGTGAGTGGGGGAGGAGCGGAGAGAGAGGGAGACAGCATCTGAAGCAGGCTCCAGGCTCTGACCTGTCAGCATAGAACCTGACATGGGGCTCACAAACCATGAGATCATGACCTGAGCCGAAGTCAGATGCTTAACAGACTGAGCCACCCAGGCACCTCTTTAATTTTTTTCTTAATTTGAGTATAGTTGACAAACAAGGTTACATTTGGGTCAGGTGTACGACATAGCGATTCAGCATCTCCTTACATTGTGCTTTGTAGATCAGCACGTATTTGACATAAATTAAGTTTAATAACATAATAGATTCAGGCTTACAACGTAAAACATTTAATTACAGAATTTGTAAAAAACACAGTTGGTAACAGATTGTATATATGTAGTAATTTGGTATTGCCGGGGGACCTGGCATGGTGTAAAAAGAGATTTTGACTCTACCTACATAATACACACTTCCTAATGAACTGTCGTAATGAATCGTTCAGGTCCCAAAATGGTAGAGGTCCACAGTCAGCAGTTTCAGATCAGCTCCAAGGATGGCAAGCCACTGTTTACTGTCGACGAAAAGGAAGTTGTGGTTGGTACAGAGAAACTCCGAGTAACAGGTATGTGACACTTTTTTCCTCAATTGAGATCTAATTCACATAGAACATTAGTTTTGGGTGAACAGCGTGATGATTTGATATCTGCATATATTGTGAAATGATCCCCCCGGTAAGTCTAGGTAACATCCATCAACGCACGGTTAGAAGTTCTTTCCTAGTGATGAGAACTTTTATTTTTTTAATTTCAATTGCAGTGTAGTTTAACCTACAATGTGTGTGTGTGTGTGTGAGTGTGAACACAGGTTCTTTAATGTAGTGCTCTTTATTTGTTTATTTTTAAAAAACTTTTAGTGAGTTAATGTAAGTGCAATATTGGTAGTAGAATTCAGGGATTTGTGTTACATTAACCTCAAGAGCTAGTCTCTTAGCAGTTTTCAAATATCCAATACAGTATTGTTAACTATAGTCACCAGGCTGTGCATTATATCCCTAGGATTTAGTTATTTTGTTAGAAGTTTGTCCCTTTTGACCCCCTCACCCATTTTGCCCAACCTCTCTTCCTGCCTCTGGCAACTACCAGTCTGTTCTCTGTATCTATGAGTTTGGTATCTTTCTTAGATTCTATATGTAAGTGAGATCACACAGTATTAGTCTTTCTTTGACTTATTTCACTTAGCATAATGCCCTCATGATCCATCCATATTGTTGCAAATGGCAAGGTTTCCTTTTTATGGCTGAGTAATATTCCATTGCATATATAAATATCCTGTTTCCTTTATCCATTTGTATGTAGTAACTCTTGAGAAAAACAATATCCCACTATCCCAAGCCTATTTTACTTTTGGCAAGTGTACTCTGGAAATTGTTCAGGCAAGGAAAAAAAGTGGTTTGAATTTGTTGACCCTTCTTCATAATGTTTGTTTTTTAATTCTCGATACTCCCCTGGAAGAATGAAATCCTCCTTATAAATCTTTTCTTACTCTTTTCTTGCACCATATTGTTACTCTTTATCTCTTTCCAATTAGTGTAACCCAAAGATTTATAAATTCCTCTATCATCTGTATGATATTCTAGTATCACTTTTCCTATGGTTTTGCGAGAGAACCTTCTTCAAAGTTTCTTTAACTCTCGTTGTACCAGGCACTTGGAGTCCTTCTATTGCTATAAAAATTGTCTCTCTTGGAAATAAGGAGGGTGAGGCTCTTATAAGAATCACTTTTAGGTTTGAAAAGAAGCAATTTTGTGGGGAAAGAATGTCCAGAACGTGTTTGAAATTTACCTGCTGAGATTCTGTAAAAATTTAATGAGAAAGACAGTAGTTAAATTCATCCCAGCACTTTTCTGTACTATTCTGAGAACCAATGGCAACTTTGTTCTCTCACACATTATTACCAATACTCATAAATGAAAACTGACTTAAGAAGCAGACTCAACTCTAGTATAAACTCTTACATGATATATAACTCCTAATAAGACAAACTACAAGAATCATAACCTATACTAAGGCAATAGGATCTGTGGTTTTCTTACTAAAATAAAGGACACTAGGAAATCTATTTAAAGGACATTGATGGTTTTCTAATAAAGAAATAGCTAGAATGCCCAAGTGCCTTGGTCATCAGAAATCTACTATCCTAGGGGTGCCTGAGCAGTTCAATCAGTTAAGCATCTGACTCTTGATTTCGACTCAGGTCATGATCTCACAGTTCATGAGTTCAAGCCCCATGTTGGGCTCCGCACTGACAGAGGGAAGCTTGCTTGAGATTCCTGCCCCTCCTCTGCCCCTACCCTCAGAAATAAATAAATAAACTCTAAAAAAAGAAGAAAAAAAATCTACTATTGCCTGGTACAAAGCATATTGGCTTTGTAGGTCTAAATTATGTTCCTATCTCAACAATTACTAGTCACATGACCTCAGGCAGGTTCATCTCTTTTGGCTGTTCCCTCACTTTTAATAACAGGTCGATGATTTCTACTGTGCTAGCATTGCTGAATTAAGTGGATCAGTGTATACAGAGGACAGCAGAGGTCTTGATAAAGTATTATTGCACTGTAGGGCCATGAAATCTATAGGGAATAGCCTGAGAAACAGGAGAGATTGCTTCAAACCCAAGCCATCCTCCACAGGGCATCCCTTAAGTGAAACTTCTCTTAGCCTAGGGCACCTTCCATTCCTTGATGTTAATTTTAGTGGAACAGGTGAAAAAAAAATTGATGATTATCAATAAACCTATGTTGTTTATTACCTGCATATGTGTATCATAATCACCTGGAGGACTTATTGAAAGATACATTGCTTTCATTTCCTGAGTTTCCAATTCAGCAAGTGTGAAAAGGGACATGAAAATCTGCATTTCCTACAAGTTGTCAGGTGACACTGCTGTTCCTAGGGTCACAGGCTGAGAACCACTTGCTACACTAATCTGACCAGAGTCAGTGGGAAAAACATGTTGGTACCGTATAGATGCTGTCCTGAGCCCACACATTTAAGTTAGCCGTTTTATTTGTTTTTTTAATTTTGTTTATTGTTTGAGAGAGGGGGGTAATTTGCACACACAGGATGGGCAGAGAGAGAATACCAAGCAGGCTCTGTGCAGTCAGCACAGAGCCCAATGTGAGATTCGATCTCACAAACTGTGAGATCATGACCTGAGCTGAAACCAAGGGTCAGACGCTTAACCCACTGAGCCACCCAGGTGCACTTAAGTTAGTCTTTTTAAAGAAAAGTTATATTCTTCATCTTATTCATAATTAGCTTTGTCTTGTACAAATTTCTCCCAAACTCCTCTTCTCTCCAGTGAAACTAACTAGAGCAAATATACTGTACCTGTAATTACTGAATACTTTCCTTGTCATGAGGCCTCTAAAACAACACGGAGTTCTGATCACCAAGGCAACCATGAGTGGTGAGTGTATGAATGGTAACGTTTTGACCCAGACCTTGACTCTTCCCGGCTTTTCAAGACGTTCTTCGCTTCCCTACATCTGCAGTTAAAGAAATACAAGAAATCGGACAATTCTGGCTTCTCTCCGTGTTTTTTCCCTAAGGTCCGACCCCCCTCTCTGTGTTGTGTAACTCAGACTTTCTCAGCCTTAACACTACTGACGTGTTGGGCTGGACAATATTTTCTGTATGTGTGGGGGGCCATCCTGTGCAATGCAGCAAATTCTGAGGCGTCCCTGACCTTTAGCCATAGATCGAGTAGCATTCCTTCCCTGGGAGTGACAATAACCAAAATATCTCCAAACATTGCCCAAACTCTTCAGGAGATTGAAGGCGTTGCAAAATCACCTCTAGTTGAGAGCCACCTTCTAACTTAAACCGACACTGTTTCTCTGGACTTCGTTGACATTGCCTTACTGTGTATTATCTGCTAGAGATGCAGCTAAATGTCTGTAGTACAGAATAAGTAAGACCTACTTCCTTTTACGTGATGCTTATACTGGAGAGCTGTTAGCATAAATTAATTGGTTGGACACAGCCTGCTAAGGATTGTAATAGATGTTTGGGCCCAGGGCTACCGGAGCAGCCTGGAGAAAGGCATCGGTTGTGCCAGAGTGCGAGGGCAAAAGACACAGAGTAGGTCAGAGGAAGTTTCTCAAGGAAAGAGGTCCTGGAGAAAGGCATAGAAGTTTATCAGAAAGGAGAAGTAAGGCTCATCATTCTAAACAAAGTGCCAAGAATGAAGGGATATTAATAGACAATTGTTAAAAGTAAGAGTGAATAACATTTTGAGAACCAGGTTCCATTCCCAGCTGCTCCACTGAGTAGATGTGTGACCTGAAGCATCTATCACCTCTCAGGGCGTCACGATACAGCTCTGCACATCCTTCCCCGCTGGTCTGTCACTGATTGCGGGATACCGTACAGAGCACACAAGGCAAATACAAACTGATTGTGAAATTAAATTGTGAATCTTTCAAAAGAAGCCAGGGTCCCAGAAGACCAAAGTGGTATAGAAATACTGGAATCACTGACAAAACCAGTCGCAAAAGAAGACCTGGAAAGTCAAGGGGCACCTGGGTGGCTCAGTCGGTTAAGCGTCCGACTTCAGCTCAGATATGATCTCGCGGTTCGTGAGTTCAAGCCCTGCGTTGGGCATTGTGCTGACAGCTCAGAGCCAAGAGCCTGCTTTGGATTCTGTGTCTCCCTCTCCCTCTACCCCTCCCCCTCTGTCTCTCAAAAATGAATGAATAAACGTTAAAAAAAAATTATGAAGACCTGGAAAGTCAGACTTGCCCACCCACTGAAGAAGTGAAAATGAACAAAGAGGACGACCTGACAGGTACTTCAAAGACTGATTGTGTTACTATCACAAGCTTGCAATAGTCGCCTTTGGGAAGATTAATGGGGCCATCGATCTGGCTGGCTTTACTGCCTATGGTAAACATTATGGACAGTGTAATATTGTGTCACTGTGGTAGGCAAAATTCTAAGAATGAGATCCCCAGATCTTTGCCCTTGTAAAGTTCCCTCACCTCTGAGCGTGGAAGGAATCTGTGAATATGATAAGATATGACTTCCATGATTATGTTATTTCTGTGGCAAAACGGAGTCCATCAATCTGAAGATTTGCTTTCGATGATCTACTGGAATCACATGGGTTCTTTATAAGCAGAGAGTTTTCTCTGGTAATATAAGGAAATCAGAGAATTTGAAGTGCTAAAAGGGTTTGTTCTCTATTGGTAAATGAAGATAGAGGGGGCCATATGACAGGAAATGGGGTGGCTTCTAGAATCTTAGAGAGGTGCTAGGCTGACAATGAGAAAATAGGACCTTCATCCCTAAAGCCACAAGGAACTCTCTTCTGCCAACAACCTGTCTCGACTTGGAACAAGATTCTTACCCAGAGATTACGGAAAAGAGCCCCGCAGGGCTGACTCCTTGACTTTGGCCTTGTGATGCCTTGAGGATAAAATCCAACCAAGCCTACTGGGTAGGACTTCTGACCAAAGAACTGTGCGCTAACAGGTGACTACTATTTTAAGCAGTTAACTTTGTCCTAATCTGTGACACAGAAATAGAAAATTAATACAGCCAGCATATATTCCAACTGTGTTGGAAAAAGTGCATCAAAGAACAAAGCTTGAGTTATTCTTTATTTATTTTCTATGAATTTATACTTATAATTATAACTAAGATTTGTTAAATATACAATAAGCATATTTTTATAAACATTAATCTTTAAAGATCAATTTCCATGAAAGCTTTCTTCCACTACTTACTATAACAATTTGGTCTTGTTTTAAATGGATTGACTCCAAGTAGCCTTTGTAGTTTCCTGGAGCAGAAGCAGCAGCATCTGAGAGCCAACGAAAGAGAGATAAGAGAGAGCCAATTCTGCTCTGGGGACTAAGAAAGAAAATTAAATGTGTTGCTTCCCTTCTCTCTCTCCTGGATACTTGCATAACTGTCCTAAGCATTGGATTAAAGAGGAGGGATCAAGTGGCTCTTTGTCTAAGGTAGTGCCCTCCAAAATCCTAAACTTGACTCTTGTATAAAGAAATGTTTTCTTGCTGTTACTTTGTTTAAATACTCAAAGAAAAAAAGAAACCTCTCTAATTCTTAAGCAGATCCCATTTGCAGAAGATATGACTTTTATGTAGAAAACCTTCCAAGCATTCAAGCAAAAAACTCCTGGAACTAATCAGCAATTTCAATAAATCTCAATAAAGTTTTAAGATATAAAATCAACGTACAGAAATCAGTTGCATCTCTATACGCTCTATGCGTGAAACATCTGAAAAAGAAATAAAACCATCCCATTCACAACAGCATCAAAAACAATAAAAATATTTTGTTAGGAATAAATTTAGCCAAGTAAAAGATCTGTACAATGCAAGCTACAAGACTTTGTTGAAGGAAATTGAACAATGGAAAGACATCCCATATTCATGGATCAAAAGAATCAATAATGTGGAAAAGTCTATACTATCCAAAGCCATCTGTAGATTCAACATGCCCACCAATATACCAATGGCATTCTTCACAGAAATACAAAAAACAACCTAAAATTTGGAACCACAAGAGACCCCTAATAGCCATAGAAATCTTGAGGGGAGAAAAAAAACTAGAGGTATCACATTTCCTGATTGAAAACTGTACTACAAAGCTATAGTAATAAAAACAATATGGCACTGGCATAAAAATAGACCCACAGACCAATGGAACAGAATTGAGAGCCCAGAATTAATGCCCCATGTATGCAGTCAATTAATATTCAACAAGGGAGCCAAGAACACCCAATGGGAAAAGGATAGTCTCCTTGACAAATGGTGTTGGGAAAACTGGATAAATATGTGCAAAACAATTAATTTGATATCTGTCTTATACTGCCCACAAAATCTAACTCAAAATGGATCCAAGACTTGAACATAAGACCTGATGCTATAAACCTCCTAGAAGAAAACTCAGAGAAGCTGCTCCTCAACATTGGTCTCAGCAAAGATTGTTCAGATGTGACACCAAAAGCACAAACGGACAAAAGAAAAACTCAACAACGTGGACTATATAAAGCTTAAAGCTTCTGCACAGCAAAATAAACAATTAACAAAATGAAAAGCCAACATACAGAATGGGAGAAATTTTTGCAAACCATATACTGGAGAAGGGGTTAATATCTAAAATATATGAAGAACTCAAAGATAAAATGTTTAAAGTCCATAACTCATACAAATCAGTAACAGCAAGAGCAACAAAAAACTCCTACAACTCAAAAACAAAACAACAAAATAGATATTAAAATGGGCAAAGGAACTAAATAGACATTCTTCCAAGAGGACATTCAAATGTCCAACAGGTACGTGAAAAACTGTTCCACACAAATACTCATCTGGGAAATGCAAATCAAAACCATAATGCAATATTACCTCATACCCATTAGAATGGCTTTCATCATGAAAATAAGAGATAACACGTGTTGGTGAGGATGTGGAGAAAAGGGAGTATACTGTTGGTGGGAATATAAATTGTCTCAACCGCTGTGGAAAATAGTATGGAGGTTCCTCAAAAACTAAACATATCTATATGATGCACCAATTCCACTTCTGGGTATATACCCAAAGGAAATGAAAATGGGATATTGAAGAGACGAATGCACTCCCATATTTATTGCAGCATTATTCACAATGGCCAAGATATGGAAACAAGTGCCCATCAACGGATAAATGGATAAAGAGGATATGATGTATACATACAATAGAATATTATTCAGTCATGAGATAGAAGGATATCCTACCATTTGCAACAACACAGACAGACCTTGAACACATATGCTAAATGAAATAAGAAGAAGAAAAACAACTACTCTCTGATATCATACATGGACTCTAAAAAAGCAAAACTCATGAAAACCAAGAATAAAGCCATAGTTGCTGGGGCTGGGGGATAGGACAGATGTTGTTTAAGGGTACCAACTTGAAACAAGTAGTATATAAACCCTAGAGATCTAATGTATAGTATAATGAATATAGAAATCAATATTGTATTATAATCATCAAAACTGCTAAGAGACTAGAACTTGATTATTGCAGTCACTAAAAAGAAAGGACCACTATGTAACAGGATAGAGATGCTAATTATTGCTACAATGACAATCATATTGCAATATATAAACGTATCAAATCAAGATGTTTTACACATTACATTTGCATAATGTTCTTTGTCCAATATATTCTTACACAACTTCCATTTAGATTATAGTCAGCTAAGAAACTGAAGAATTATTTTTAAATCAAATTTATGGAGATTAATTTCACGAACTCAGTTTGAAATGGATCAAGGCCTTTAGACAGCCTTATTTTTCCCCCCTAAAAATAGAATTGGTCTCCAAATGACCAATGTTAGCATACCCCTTTTGTTAACCCAATTATAGAACATATTACTGGAGAAGTATCAACATTTCACCTTAAAAAATGTTTTAGACCATTGCCGGAACTGACATCTGGCAAAAAAAAAATATACTTTGATTTCTTGGCAGTGATTTGCTTGGCTGGGTGCATTCCCCAACACTTAGTAAGAAAAACAGTGTCCTATAATGGAATTCAATTTCCCTTGAGCAGAGCAAGATTTAAGGATAAGCTAGTTCAGTTTCTTTGCACCTGTGTGGCTAAGTAGGATTACATGAAGTCAGAAGTGATGGTGTCAAAATACTAGAGTCACACACAAAGCCACTGAGGATCTGCAGAATACGATTTCAACAGCTGAAAAAGTGACCATAAACAAAGGTGATAAGTCCAGATGCCTTAAAAAGACATGAAGACAGATTATCTACAAGATTCTAATAGATCAGCATCTCCTTTGAGAACAGAGCCAAGGTCTCCAAACACTTCGTAATGAAGCTCTGTGGACAGTGAATGACCTGGCCCATCGGTTGACAGTCTTTCAGCTGAAAGGAACCCAATTGAGTGATGAGGACATATATTTTCTTACATGAGAAGTCCACAGGTAGGGCAGTTCCAGGCTGATTAATTAGGTGGTCCAGTAATATTTACTCTAGCTTTGTTTCTCTTAAGTGTGTTGACATTCCCCTTTTAATCACAGATTCCATCTGTGCTAAACATCACTTCCCTGTGCAATGGCTTCTCTAAACTTCTGTTAAGAAGACCTTGATGGCCCCTTAAATTACCCTTCCAACCTAAATTCTCACATTAAATGATTACCTTTCTCTTGAAAGTGGCTTTCAGATGGAATTTATTTTTTTTAGCCCATTCTAATAGACTTTGTGTTTGGGGAGGGAGTTTTGTTTATTTTTATTTTTGCTTGAGAGAGAGAGAGCACCTAAGCAGGGAAAGGGGCAGAGGGATAGAGAAGAGATTCCCAAGCAGGCTGCACCCTCAGTGGGGAACCCGACTCAGGGCTCAGTCATGACCCTGGGATCATAAACTGAGCCCAAATCAAGAGTCGAATACTCAACCAACTGAGCCACCCAGGCACGCCTACATTGGTTTTGATAGCTTTTCCATTTGGGCTTATCTCTGCTATATTATTTCATGATTTTTATATTGTAATCATATGGAATTTAAGTCTGAAGCAAGTCTGGTATAAGAGGAGCTACAGAGTAACCAGTTCATGCAAGTACTTGTTGGCATTATAAGAACTTAGGATTTGTTTTAAATGCAATGGAAAGACATTGAATTTTTCAAGCAGAGTGTTTTTGATCTATACAAAGATCAATATAACCTATTACAAGGGAGCATAGATTATTTGGAGGAAAGAGAGGAAACAGTAAGACCATTTAGGAAGATGTCAACTGTCGTACCAGCAGTAGATGCTGGTGACCTGGCTCGGTGGTAGCAATGGTCATTGAAGGAAGCTGATGACTCCAAACTAAGAATATATAAATATATAAATATATAATGATATATAAAGACGTGCAGATAGATCAAATGGGTGGCAGACGTTAAGAGACGGAATCAAAGATCAAAAGATCATATTTGTTTCTGGACGATGGCATTATTCTCTAGGTAGTGGAGAAGCCTGAGGAGGAGAATACATTTTTAAAGCAGAAGGAATAGACGATTAATGTTTTACGTGCATAAGTGTACGGTATCTATGACACAGTCAAATGGATATGCCAAGTCAGCTCTTGGATATGTGAGCTCTTTATTGCTCAGAGCTCAAATCTTGACTAGAGATAGAAACGAGGGCATCATCAGCCAGCTGAGCTCTGAGACACGCCAACCTTAGGGCCCTCAAGATAGAGGAAGCACAGCCACTCAAGGACAGTGTGACGAGGCAGACAGTGTGGTGGGAGAAACATCATGGGAGCCATTTTCTTGATGCCAAGAGAGACTGTATTCCCATAATTCCAGTCCAGGAAAGATGAGGACGGAAACCGTCATTGAACGTCATCATGGAGGTCATTATTATCTTAGCAAGACATTTTCTTTGGAGTATTAAGGCAAAAGGCCATTCACAGCAGTGTCAGGACAGAATGGACTGGAGGCAGTAGAGACACCATGTGGGAGTCTGGCTGTGAAGCAGAGCAATAGAAATCTTTTTTTTTTTTTTTTTTTTTTTTGGTACCACTTGTAAGGCTCATTTCGGTCTATAAATACTCAGCGCATGTGCGATCTTTTTTAAAATTTTTTTTAATGTTTTATTTATTTCTGAGAGAGAGACAGCGTGAGCAGGGGAGGGTCAGATAGAGAGGGAGATACAGAATCTGAATCAGGCTCCAGGCTCTAAGCTGTCAGCACAGAGCCCGACACAGGACTCGAACCCACAAACCATGAGATCATGACCTGAGCTGAAGTCAGACGCTTAACTGACTGAGCCACGCAGGCGCCCCTGGAATCAATCTTAATGAATAGTTATCAGTGTCAACATAAAAACCTAACAGGTGTCTGGGTGTATATTATCCACTGTTTGGGCAGTAGTATTCTTATTGAGCTCTATATTTCTGAACCGAAGGAACCTAGAGTAGCCACAGGTAGGGAAGAACGGGGCAGCCTAGAGCAATTTCCCCTGCAGTGTTGGGTTATGTCCATGAACTCTAGAGCGTTGGATTCTGTCTGTGAATTTACTACAGATCTTCACAGGAACATCCATTCATCATAAATTACTCTGGGATCCAGAAGAGAAGGATGGAGTCATCCAAACTATTGATATTTTATAGTGGAAATGACCAGACCATTTACTACATCTAATCTTGGTGATACATTCTTTTTTTTTTTAAAAAAAAAGTTAGCATTGTAAGACTGGGCTTTTTAAATTACTGTACTTTCCTTATACAAATATTTATACAGGATCATAGTATTCAGAGTTATTTAAATGCATTATTTATATAATGATATTTTATAGTGCAACTTTTTCCCTGTTTAAAATTTAAATGATATGGCCCCAAATAATATGTTCTATTTTCTACCAGAAACCGGTGTTACACCAATGATATATTGTTATATAATCTTGGTTGGGAATATTTCATATGAATGCATACAAAAGGGAAATATAGTTACACTGAAAATCAACAAAGATTTACTAAGAATTATTTTATGAAGCCATTTACAAAACATCTATTTTAATACATGCAAATAGGTTCTGAAGAATATTACTTTGAGACCAAATAGTAATAACAGAAGTAAAATGATCTAATTTGGGCATCGACAGTTTCAATGATGAAGGGACAGCCGTTCATATTTAAAGATAATACATACTGGTTTATAGGCTTTATGCCCGCCTTATACTTATGTCCATTACAACAATCACAGGTCATTATCATATCACTCATTGGTTATATTAGAAAGTAAGTAATTGTCATACCTTTAAAGACTAATTACCGAGTTCTGGTTCCTTGTGAAAGAATGTCCTCTGAGAATAATTTCAGCTCACTGGAACGGTTTAAAAAGTCTGTACATTAGTTTCTATACATTAGTTGCATTTTCTTGCTCACATATGCACAGATTCAGTGGCAAAGCCTACTTGTGCTTTAACATATAAACTAAATGTTTAATTCCTTTGATGCTGTCGATCCTACTTTTGTAAAAAGTTGCGTCTCCGGTTTTGTTTAGGGCCTGAAGGCGCTCTTTTTGAACATTCAGTGGAGACCCCACTCGTAAGAGCCGACCCATTTCAGGACCTGAGGTAAGAGTTTTGTTCACATATCAGCTCTTTTACAGAAGATACCTGGACGTGTACTGGAGTAATATGTTAGCAGTTATTTCCAGAACAGGTCTTATTCCACCAACTGCCTTTATCCCCATCGTGTGCCACTTGCTAACTAGTCATAACTTACTAAAATCTAAAGGAGATAAAAAGTACTACAGATTCCCACTGCTTAATGCACCCAAAGCAGAGCATTTACCATCTTAACCACTTTTAAGTGCCCAGTTCAAAGGTAGTAAGTGCGTTTGCACTGTTGTACAGCCATCACCACCACCATCTCCGGAATTCTTTTCATGTTGCAAAGCTGATATTCTGTGTGCAGTAAACTACTGCCTGTTCTCCCTTCCACCAATCCCTGGAAACCACCCTCTACTTTCTGTCTCCATGGGTTCAGTGACGCTAGGCACCTCGTACAATGGGATCAGACACTGTTTGGACTTTCCAACTGGCTCTTTCATTTAGTATAATGTCCTCAACAATGGATGTCTTTACCTAATGTCAGAATGTATAAAATCACCTAGTTCCAGAGGTAAAGGTGTTCCTTATACACAGTCTCCGTGTGCCTGTGTGTGTTTCACTTTATCACCACACTCCTCAGTGACCCTTATTGTTATAACTGTTTATTCCAATATTATATTTGTATCTTACAACAAAATCAAATGCTATTTTTTATTGAGTTACTTTTAAAGTTTATTTATTTTGAGAGAGAGAGCGTGCATACATGAGCAGGGGAGGGGCAAAGAGAGGGAGAGACAAAATCCCAAGCAGGCTCCCTGCTGTCAACACAGGGCTCAAACTCATGAACATGAAATCGTGACCTGAGCCAAGGTCAAGAGTCAGGTGCTTAACCCACTGAGCCACCCAGGTGCCCCCAAATACTACTTTTTAAAACAAATGTCTAAAGCCTAAGGCATCACTCGCAATTATATTCAGTATTTGAACTTGAAATATATGCAGAACAATTAATATCCTAATATATTATGTATAACAGAGGAAATAAAGTACAGTATGAGTCCCAGCTTTACAGAGAGAAGCCTTGTGACCTTGGCCAAACTAACTCTTTGAAACTATTTTTTCTCATCTATAAAATGCTGATAGTAATACATATCTCAAAAGATTTGGGGGAAAAAATCAATAAGCTGTTAGGTTAAGAGTATTTTGTAAACTGAAAGTTGAATACAAATAATCATTTTTCGTATCAGTATTATACCAAGTAAATAATCACCCTAAATGGAATAAAAGGAAATTAAGCATTTTCTCTTATCTTGAATGCCTAATTAAATATTAATCAAAAGCAAATGAGAGTTCAGTTTATCTTACCAACTTAGAGAACATTTGCAGCATGAAAATAAATTGTGACTCTAATTACATTAGAACAATTTCATCAATTTTGATAAAGGATCATAAGATCAATATCTCAGAATTATTATAGTTAGGAAAGAAGAACATTTTGCTTTTCTAGGATAGAAAAATGATACAGTGTCTTTAAAACTGATCCCATTAAAACCATTTTGAAATTATACAATAATACAGACTGTAGAGATACCAGACTCCTTTTTGAAATAAATGCCGCTATTTTAAAAGATCTAGATCTTGAAATTAAACCATCCAGCTTAGTTTGTCCATCAGGACCTAAATCTGCCAGTTACACAGCAGACCCTTGCTAAGAAAGAAGTGAAAGAAGAGTAATCTCTTGCTTTCTGAAATGTGATATACTAAGGGACGTCACATAACCCAGGTGTTATAACCAAATTGATTGAGGAACTACGGAAATTGTAAGATATTCCTGGAGGGATGGGGTGAGGCTGGAAGCCCTGAGCTAACATGCACTGAACGGGCCAGGACCTGTGCTCCATGCTGTCTCAAAATTTATCTCATTTAATCATCAGCTCAACCCTAAAAATAATCAACTTCATCCCCATTTTATAAAAGAGAAAGACTGAGACCAAAATATTAGCATGTTCTAAGCAAAGATGAAGAAGTAGCTGAAAGATCATTCAAACTCAGCTCTGACCCCAAAGCCCACGTACATTGAGTGTATTGTCTCCACCGGCTAAGTGGACCCCGAGTGATTTAGTCTTTGATTTACAGCCAGACTCCACTAATCAATTATACGACAGTCATATTTTCTCCTGTAAATTCTTACTATAAACTTTCTTTCACTTTTGACTTCTGAGTCCAGGATCATTATTGCTCCTGGCCTGAGTACAGTGAAAATGATTCTAGAATGTCCTGTAAAGAAAGAATGTGGATTTTGTAGGGCTGAGGTTATAAGGCATTTGCAAATACATCCCTGAAATAGACGTGTGTAAATATCACAAATTTAAATTTTGATATTGGCTTAAGTGGTAGTCATAGAAGGGTGACAATTATTATTTTCTTTAAAAAAATAATTTGCATTTAAACTAGATTTACATTTCTTTTAGCAAAATCATTCACAAGAAAAATATGAACTCTGACATGGTGCCTTCATTGTGACATGCTACTATTCATTCCTATGTGATATAATTCATTCTTTTTTTAAAAAATTCAGCAAAAATAGACTAAACGTGTTTTTGTGCCAGGATGGATGCTAGTTCCGCAGTGATAAAAGGCATGAATCCTGCTCTTCATGATTTTAAAGTCTTGGGAAAAGATATATGCAAACAAGTTAGAACAATATAGTTCCTTGCTACGATGAAAGTCCAAAATGTAGTGAGGGCAGAGGAGAAAAAGCATAAAATCTTCCCAAGGCAATCTGAAATGACAGATTCACAGAGAAGGAACTATTTGATCTGAAACTTAAGGAATCAGTAAACATTAACATCACAGGGTAAACCCAATAGGGAGGTGATGGCGATTAACTAAGTTATTCTTTGTAAGTTGCTGGTAACATTTTGCTTAGCACCTGGTCAGTAACATAGAAGTGCCTTCATTGGGTAAAGTAAAAGGAAGGGCATGGAAACATTCGCCCGTGTTTCAAACACTTGTAAATACGAGTTTACTTCTAAATAAATAAATAAGTAAATAGGAAGAGAGGTAAGGAAGGGGAGAGGGAGGGAGGAAGGAAATACATTTTTATAAATATATGTTGTATACTTACAAACGTTTTTCTGCTAGAAAGCAAGACAAGCTCATACTTAGATCTCAGTAACAAAGAGGAAATTCACTGTCAGAGCTGAACTGACGTGCTCCTAGAAAAATCAGGATCCCACAGAGATTAGGGACTGGGGCCTTAGTGTATTATGGGACGGGGGTACCAAGCCGTAGCCTAGTGTGTGTGCAATGCCCAGACTGAGATGCCTTGTACGCCCTGGTCTCCCACGGAAGTTATTTTAGACAATTTGCCTAGCTGTCTAAAGGTGCTGCAAGCCCGTCTTGGGCCCTGGGTCGAGTGACCCACAAGAAACCATGAACTACAGACATGTGCTTGGCCAAGATGGGAGGACTTAATCGACACTACCTCCTTGTATAAGATCTCAGAACTGGGAAATTAATGTTAAAAACTGCACTTGCACTGACGTCCAGCTGCAGTGAAGAAATGATCCCATTACCCACGACACAAAAACACCTATGGAAAACAGTCGTAGCTGAAGATGAGTTTATAATAATAATAATAATAATAATAATAATAATAATAATAAAAAGACACAGAATTAGCAGCCACAACAAGTTACCCCCTGAAAATCTAAGTGAGAGAGCAAAGTGAGAGATTTTAAAAGACATGAATAAAATGCTCAGTGAGAAAAAAAAAAATTATTATTTAAAAATGCTTTTTTAATGTTTAATTTTATTTTTGAGGGAGAGCGCAGACGAGAGAAGTCAGAAAGGGAGACAGGAGGGGCGCCTGGGTGGCTTAGTCGGTTAAGCGTCCGACTTTCGCTTGGGTCATGATCTCGCGGTTCGTGGGTTCGAGCCCCGCGTCGGGCTCTGTGCTGACTGCCAGCCTGGAGCCTGGAGCCTATTTCAGAGTCTTTATCTCCCTCTCTCTCTGACCCTCCCCTGCTCACGCTGTCTCTCTCTCTCTCTCTCCTAGAAATAAATAAAAACATTTAAAAAAAAAAAAAGAAAGGGAGACAGGATCTGAAGGGGGCTCTGTGCTGAGAGCAGAGAGCGTGCAAGGTCATGACCTGAGATGAAGTCGGACGCTTAGCCGACTGAGCCCTCAAAGAAAACAAAATTTTGAGTACAAGGTAAGGCAGGGTCACAATGGTATGAAAATGGCAGATTTGGAAAATAACAACATAGAATTCTAGAAGGGAGAGCACGTAATTGAAATCCGTGTCACCCGGTAGTTGGTTTCTCACACCATTCTGCAATAAAAGGAATTGGGATTCTTTGAAGAAATGGCTCATTCTAGGACCAGGGCAGCAAATGCAGAAGATGAATTTGGAACATTTTCCAGCGCCGGTGAATAAGACGTGCTCAAAAATCGAAACAACGACGGGGTGCCGTTAAGCGTCAATTAAGCATCCGGCCTCGGCTCAGGTCATGATCTTGTGATTCGTGGGTTCGAGCCCTGTATTGGGTTCTGTGCTGACGGCTCAGAGCCTGGAGCCTGTTTCAGATTCTGTTACTCCCTCTCTCTCTGACCCTCCCCCACTCGTGCTCTGTCTCTCTATGTCTCAAAAATAAATAAACTATTTTTAAAATTTTTTTTAAAAAATCAAAATAACAGCCAAAAGGACACAGGAGCCAAATGAAAGAGCTCCCAGTCAAAGAACTCCCGGTCACAGCTATACAATTTAAGCAAAAAAAAAAAAAAAAAAAAAAAATCAGCATCTTGAATTGTAACCGAAAGCTGATTGGTATCAAATCTCCGGGATTTTTAGTTTCCATCAAATACATTATAAAATAAGGAGTTTCATTTCAAAATGACAATGTTTATCATAAGTCAGAAATGGTATCTTTTGCAAATGTTTATGAAAAACACATTAACGTAAAACTGCGTAATCAGTACGTAGTTTTTCAGATTTCTTTTGTTGTACAAAGTGTGGGTT